ATTTGCACTAATTCTGCCCTAGTCCAAGCCATCATCATCTATCATCTAAGGCTATTTCAATAGTCTGCCAACCAATTTTCCTCTATCTAATGTTTCTTTCCTCTAATATATTCTTCAATCTATAGCTAAAACAATTATTAAAAAATAATCATGGTCCTTCCCCATCTGAAATTACTCAGATGAAAAGTCATTGCATTGGGCTGGTAAAGAGTCAAAGCCCAAACAATATGAGGGGGAAGGATGAGTCATTGTGCACTGATGCCTTTTCAGGGTGTAGCTGGTGTCTCCCTAAGAGGTTGGAAAGTGAGTGGAGTAAACTGAGCATCTGCCCAGATGAGCAGTTCAGTTTAAGGTATGGGAACTCAAGAGGGTTGGGGAGGACAATGGCACTGGATATGGACCAGCCTCGGCAATGGGAGATTGATTACATATGAGGAACTTGAACAAAGGAGGATATATATCAAAAACAATGGGAGCCATGTTTCTCATTGTCAGGGAAAGGAGTTACACATATGGCAAGGAGAAAAATTTAGAATAAGTAAATTCTGACTCCTGTGGTATTGCATTGCAATTAGAAGTATTGGTGTCAATTCTTAGTTTATACATATACATAAAAGTGGAGGTGTGTATGTGTAGATATATACAGTGGATTTCCTACCTTTCTCCACTGAGAAGCACTAGAAGCAATAGCATTGCCATAGCATGAAACATGCTTAGCACCTAGATTTTGCTATCTAAATACCATTCTTCAAAAGAACCTAGGCTCTTTGGAGAAATGGCTGGTATCATGACTGAGCTGGAAAAAATTCTAGATAAGCCTGGAACACCTTCTTATGCACTAAAATAAGCATACTCAAAAAATGATGGGATTGCCAAAAGGACACAGAAGTCAGCTTGAAAAACTGCCTGTTGGTCAAATCTAAAATCACTTACGCATCTAAGTGAATGATAGCAATATATTCTGACCCATTGAATAAAATGGGATTCCATGAATCCATAATACAAATTAATGAATAAATTGGAAGTTTGATGAAAAATGAGATGTTCACAGAGTCTCAAAGGACCTTCCCTGAAAGCACTTATTAATCATAAGAATGAAAATGTAACTGTAGAGAAGTGTCAGTGAGGTTTTTCCACTGTAATCAAGCAATCTAAGTTAAAACCAACAATAATGAGACAAATCTTTTGATTTGGAGTCACTTGATAAAATGCAATGAATGTCACTTCATAGTGTCACTTCTGTTATATTCCTGCCAAGATGCATAACCTAAATCTGATCACGAGGAAACATCAGACAAGCTGCAACAGAAACACCACATCTACAAAGTAACTGGCCTATAGACTGGCCTATTCTTTACAAGTATCAAGGTCTTGAAAGTCAAAGAAAAACTGAGGAACTCTCTCTGACTGAAGCAGTCTAAAATATCAGGACAGTAGATCAACCAAGTAGTTTCCAGCAGAATCTTTTACTACAAGGACATTGTTGGAACAATTGGCAAGACCTAAATGGGGTCTGAGGACTAGATGATGACAACGTATCAGCATTGACTTCCTGATTTTGATTATTATGTTGTGCTTATATAGGATGTCCTTGTTTATGAAATATATAAACTGGTTTGGGGAGATAATGGGACAAGTTAGCAGCCTATCTTCAAATGGTTGAGGAGACAAAGTTATGTGTTCTATACATTGAATTATTTTGTAATGTTTAAATTATTTCCAATTTTTCAAATAAAATTATAATTATATACAGTAATGACCTGTTTAAACTCTTCTATGGCTTCCCATTGCTCTTAGGAAAAAGACCAAAATCCTTAAAATGAACTAAATCATATCACTGTCTATTTTTTCAGTCTCATTTTGTTGACTCTTTTTTTTTTTTTGGCTTGCTGCATTCTGGTGTTCTTTTTCTTACATACGGATGCTCTTTTAAAGAAAAAGCCCTCTGTTCCCTCTGCCTACTACATTCTCCATTTTTTTACCCAGATACATTAAATTTCTTCTCTTTGTTTCTATTTTTTGATACGACCTTTGCCCCAGGAGTGATTTTCCCCATTATTCATTCTTTTAGTACCATGTATTATCCCTTCATGGTTACAGACTTGTTTGAATAATTGATGACTATGTCCTCTTCTCTTTTCCTAGTGTTTTTTTTTTTTTTTTTTTTTGAGACAGAGCCTCAAGCTGTCCCCCTGGGTAGAGTGCCATGGCATCACTGCTCACTGCAACCTCCAGCTCCTGGGCTCAAGCAAGTCTCCTGCCTCAGCTTCCCAAGTAGCTAGGACCACAGGCGCCCACCACAATGCCCGGCTATTTTTTTGGTTGCAGCCATCATTGTTGTTTGGCGGGCCCGGGCTGGTTTCAAACCCACCACCATAGGTGTATGTGGCTGGCTCCTTAGCCACCTGAGCCACAGGCACTGAGCCTCTTTTCCTAGTTCTTGAGGGCAGAGCAATGTCTTTGCTCATCACAATACCCTTAGTGACCCAGCCCAGAGAACAGTAAACAATTTTAATGAATAAATGAACTGTTTAAGATCAATCTATCCATCTTTTCACCTGATTTTGTCTCCCTCTCCTATATCTGTTGCTCTTTTTTGACTCCTAATCAGTTTACAAACTTGTTTATATATTTCTAAACCTGAAGCATTTCCTCTCTTAAATACTCTTCCTCTTCTAATTATACTATAGTTTTCCTACTTCTTTCCCCACCCAAACTTTCGGGAGTATGTACAGGTATACTATTTACATTTCCTCAGCTCCTATCAAATCTTCAGTCCACTGCAATTTTTATAGGTTATAAAGCTACATATTTTTTACTATAAAGTGGTTATATTTTTAAAGTATTTTTATTTTAGACCAAATTTATAGTTAGTATTTTATTGGGTATGTAGAGTCTTTGGGGGGTTGACTGATATGGTAGAGTTTAGTTCTTTAACTTATCTATGGCAGTAGATATAAGTGAATAACATTTAGATGTTAGTATGTAGGCTCTTTTGGCCTTGTTAGATACTGACTAGCAGCGTCTTACATGAAATGGTCATCAAAGCTGTCATTTTATTACCTGTGATGTTCTGAATGTCATCAAAATGTTTACCTTTCAATATTTCCTTTATCGTCCGGTAATGAAAAAACTCATTGGGGGACCTAATCAGGTGAGTAGGGAGGGTGTTCCAATACAGTTGTTTACTGGCTAAAAACTCCCTCATAGACAGTGCCATGTAAGCTGGTGATTTGTCACCATGCAAGAGCCTTCATAGATTTTCCTGTTTTTCTATCAATGTTTATTTGGTCTGCTATGCTTCTCACAGTCAGCCAACGATTTTGACGCACAATTTGATGCATTTTTGCAATGCTTTTGTCAGTTCTGCTGATTACTAGCTCCCTAGCCTCTTTTCATGAGTGATGCTTTTCCTCCCCTCAGAAAAAAAAAATATTTAATCCATTTGTGCACTGCTGTTTTCTTCATGGCATTATCCCCATAAACTTGTGCCTGATTTCACTTCCACTCTTGTCAAGTTTTTTTTTTTTTTTTTTGTTTTTTTTTTTTTTTTTTGGAGACAGAACCTCAAGTTGTCCCCCTGGGTAGAGTGCCATGGCATCACAGCTCACAGCAACCTCCTACTCCTGGGCTCAGGCGAGTCTCCTGCCTCTGCTTCCCAAGTAGCTGGGACCACAGGCACCCAACACAATGCCTGGCTAATTTTTTGGTTGCAGCCATCATTATTGTTTGGCGCCCCGGGCTGGATTCCAACTTGCCACCTTGGGTCTACATGGCTGGCGCCTTAGCCACTTGAGCCACAGGCGCCAAGCCTCTTGTCAAGTTTTAACAAGAAATTTAATGTTCATTGCTCTAATTTTTTCAACAGTCTCAAGATGGCACACAAATATATGGCGTGCAAAAATAATGAAGGCCACTCAGCAAGAACCACCACAAGTCATGGGAACACCACTGTGAGATGCTGATGTTATGAAACCTTAGCATCTGTGTGATGCTGCCAACATAAGGGCATGGTGGCAAGGTTGCCAACTCTATTGTCAGACTTTCGTATTGACTAGTATGCATAGCACATCACATAAGGCTGCTTCTAATATTTCTGCCTTTGTTCCTTCTACTTCATCTTCTTTCCTGCCATATATTAGCTTAGCCGTAGATTCTATAGTCGTTGAGTTTTTATAATTTGAAAAACTGAAATTCAATTTACTACCCATGAAACTGTTACCAATCACAACGTATTGCTTGTTACAGTTGATGTCATGAGCAGGTATCCACCCTCTTCAGCAACCTCTTTCAGAGGCTGTGAATATAGCTATTTCAATTGTTACACTGCAGTGGGTCAAAATGCAGTTTCTGTACCTCATGATTTGGATATAAAAGTGAGAGGGAGAGGTGTGGATAATTCCCCCGTTTCTACCTTCGATGACTAGAAAGGAAATATTGAAGAAGGTTCAAACTTTTGACACACACGCTCACACTTAAGTTGGAAATAGTTCTGTAATTTCCAAGTTTCCCACTGCAATCGATGTCACTTCAAGCAAGCTTCCCTCCTTCCTCCAAATTCCCCCTTTCGACCTCACCCACCCCTCGCCCAGACAAATCCTCTGTAACCCAGTCTTCCCGTGAAGAACAGTCTCGGAAACTCGCTGGCCAAACCCACCCTCGGGTTTCCCCGTCACCCTGGCAACCGGACCAGGAAGGGGCGGGGCTTGCCGTCTACTGTTCCTGCCCTTGACGCGCGCCAGGAGCTTTAACGCGGGGGCGGCGGCTGTACTGCCCACAGGATGTCCTTCAGCTCCGGTTTGGGGCCGGAGCCGGAGCCAGACCCGGATCCCTCACAGAGGGCCACGTCAACCTAAACCTACACCGCCCTCCCCACCCGCCGCCGCCGCCGCGCCCGCTGGGCCTGCAGCGGGTCTCCTGGGCTGCGGGCGCCACGCCTTTCCCACAATGCCCCGCGCCAGGCCCCGCCCCCGCTCGCCGTGGAGACCGACGCGGAGCCGACCGTAGTTGGCCCCGCGCTCGCCGCAGCTAGTGCGGCTGGTCCTCCCCCATCCTGCGCCCAGCGGCCGGGCTGTTGGGGTGTGAGTGCTTCCGTCCTGCACCCACAGCTTGGGGTCAGACCGGCGGGGTTTGCCGCCCGGCTCCAGGATGGGGGAGTAACTACAGGAAGTGACCGCACGACCAAGGTGGGCAGGGGCCGGGGGGCCGGGACTGGACCGGAGCCTGCGGTGCCCTGGGCCTGGGGAAGGGAAAGGAGAAACACCCGTGTGCTTACACCTCCCTTTCTCTGCGCTCGTACGGCCTGTCTGTTGTGTTCTCACTCCCCGTTTTCCTATTTACCCACACTACCCTTTCTTTCAGCGGGTCCCCTTTACTTACTCGGGTTCCCTTCTCTCTGAGTCCAGCCTCAGATTTAAGATACCACCAACACTTGACAGTCCCGTTCCCCCTTGGTCTCCATCTTTCCCCAATCTCTTGTCCCATTCTGGAGTGATGACAACATGAAAGCTTTGGCCTTGCATTTACCTGCAGCTTCCACCTGCATCTTCCACCTGTCCTCACTGTGGCCCAGAGCAACTCAACACAGCCACGCAGACTGAACAGCCCCTAGGCAAGAACATCTTATCCCAACGTAGTGATTGAAAATACGTTCTTGTTTGTTTTTTCCTGGTGGTTTTCTAGTCTGGGTATTTGTTAATCTCCAGCGTTATATTTTGCAAAGGTGTATTTCTGTGGGATGAAAAGGACGTGTTAGAAATGACCTGAAGACCATTTACAGGTAAGAAGTAAGAAGGCTTTCTTAAAATAGACATTTAGGAGTAAATGAAGGAAAAATTGAGAGTGCGATGAAACAGACTTTTCAAAGCATTATAGATCTTTGGATACCAGTATAAAGTATACCACTATACCAGTTTTAAATGTGGTATGATTAAGTAATGATTATTTTTACATGGATGGAGTATTTTTACATTATTTTTGCATGGATGAGCTTGTCTAAATGGTTATTCCCTATTTTTTCTTTTCCTATTTCTGTTTATGGCAAACATGAATTTGGCACTAAAATTACGCTGTTAACTTACTAATATACTGTTATTCTCTACTTAGATTTAGTGTAAGCACCTCAGAATTCAGAGGCAAAGATGGATGCAGTGTAGGTTGAATAGTATAACAATATAATTCACTGTCATTTTTGGCAGTGATATATGAAAAGTAAAGATTTGGTGGGACTAGAAAGAAGCACAGGATCCTTAAAAAGTACATTTTCCTACAAGTGAAATCTGATTAATCTCAGAAAACTGTATAGCCTTTGATGGTCAAGTAGTGTAGCGCTGAAACCGGATAGAGAGAGGAAGGAAATGGGAGTTATTCCCACCCTTGACTTCTGATGCTAATTAGAAGTTTTTTCTTACTTATAAGAAAAGCTTTTTCTTACTTATAAATTGCTGAGTGTGGAAGCACTGTACCTAGCTACACCCACTCACTGCTTCCTTTTATCTGCTGTCATGAATGATCTCACAAATTTGGCTACCTGGCAGTGGAAGCAGTGGAGAGGGCCCTCAAAGGATGGTACCTGGGGCATTTCTTCTGATCTGCCATTTAACAAAGATTGTATCACTGACCATGTTATTTGATAAATTGTGTTATTGCTGTTTACTTTGAAATGTCATTTTAACTGCCAGGTTTCCTCTCTTTAGATTAACATTTTTGGAGACAATTTTATGATGCTTGATTCATCCTTGAAGTAATGTGGACAGAAGTTATCGAATTTGCATATTCCATCCACTGGAACCAGCAGTGTGTCCTAATGTTCACTTAAGCCAGAACTTGTATAACAAAAAGAATGGGAGTCTGGTTGAAAAAAGATGATGATATCAGAGACTTGAAAAGGATTGTACTCTGTTTTCTAATAGTATACATGGCCATTTTAGTGGGCACAGATCAGGATTTTTACAGTTTATTGGGAGTATCTAAAACTGCGAGCAGTAGAGAAATAAGACAGGCTTTCAAGAAATTGGCATTGAAATTACATCCAGATAAAAACCCGGTAGGTAATAATTTGTTTTTAAAAATAACTAATTCTATTTTGGTATTTTGATATTTAAATTATTTTAGATAAGCATTCAAAATGCTTAAGAACAGTCACATCAAAATTATAATTCAACTTGTATGCCAAAACAGATTCTAGTTTAGTGTGAAAGAATATCAATACAAAAAATATAGTGCCCTCCTTTTAGTAAGCTAATTTCCAGCAGTTCTGTTAAAGACATTAGTCCCAGGCTCTGCGCCTGTGGCTCAAGCGGCTAAGGTACCAGCTACATACACCTGAGCTGGTGGGTTCGAATCTAGCCCAGGCCCCCCAAACAACGACAACTGCAACAACAACAACAAAAAAATAGTCGGGCATTGTGGTGGTCACCTGTAGTCCCAGCTACTTGGGAGGTGGAGGCAGAAGAATCCCTTGAGCCCAGGAGTTGGAGGTTGCTGTGAGCTATGATGCCATGGCACTCTACCCAGGGTGACAGCTTGAGGCGCTGTCTCAAAAAAAAAAGACGTTAATCCCAAAGGAAACTATAATATCTGTAAAGCAGTTAAAGTAGTTTTCTTAGCAAAGTAGGTTAAGATCAAGTATTTTGGGAACGAGGAAAAAAAAAATTGCTTTAAAAGTCAGTGAGTACAACCTACTAAAAATGGTAGTAATAGTTAAAAATAATATCCTTTCACTATTTTCTCCCATGTACAAGTCCACAGATCAGAATTAGAAAGTTTTATAAGTTAAAACTTGAGAGCAGCTAAATATAATTTGAATCAAATAGTTGATTGTGTATATGTATTTAACAAAATTAGTTTTAATTTTATGGTATTTTTATAATTTACCTCTGTCTCAAAAAAAAAAAGTCTCATTTTGTCACCCTTGCTAGAGTACCCTGGCACCAAAGCAACCTCAAAGTCTTGGGCTCAAGCTATCCTCTTGCCTCAGCCTCCCAAGTAGCTAGGACTACAGATGCCCATCACAATGCCCAGCTGTTTTTTAGAGACCTTTAGGATCTTGCTCTTGTTCTTGCTCAAACTGTTCTAGAACTCCTGAACTCAAGCAGTCTACCCACCTCAACCTCCCAGAGTGCTAACATTTCAGGTGTGAGCCACTGTGTCCAGCCACTTAATTCTTTTATTTATTTTTTGAGATAGAGTCTCACTATGTCACCCTCTGTAGAGTGCTATGACATCACAGCTCACAACAACCTCAAACTCTTGGGCTTCAGCAGTTCTCTTGCCTCAGCCTCTCAAGTAGCTGCGACTACAGGTGCTGCCACAATTCCCAGTTATTTTTTGTTGTTGTTGTTGCAGTTGTCATTGTTGTTTAGCTGGCCTAGGCCAGGTTCAAACCTGCCAGCCTCAGTGTATGTGGCTGGCGCCCTACTCACTAAGCTGCAGGAGCCACCCAACCTAATTCTTTCTTAATGAGATTTGAAAAGCATCGTTAACAAGAACAAAGATATGCTTAAATTAAATTTCTTATTTCTAGGTAGAATTTTTAAAATACAGTTATTTTATTTCAATTACATGAAACTGAGGAATAGTAACAATACTTCTTTAAAACTCTTATCTTTCTCTGACATCTATGGTTTGTTGTATTTAGGATTTTAAGTTTTTCTTTAAAATTTTAGAATATGATTTTTAAATTACAGAAGATGGTGAATTTTCATTTAAAGTATTAATCCAATGAAAGCATTCTTTGAAAACTAATTTTATAAAACATAATAACAAAGAAGGGAAGCCAGGAACGGTGGCTCATGCCTATAATCCTAGCACTCTGGGAGGTGAAAGCAGGAGGATCGCTTGAACTCAGGAATTCAAGACCAGCCTGAGCAAGAGCAAGTCCCCCATGTCTACAAAAAAACAGAAAAATTAGCCATGTGTGATGGCAAGTGCCTGTAGTCCCAGTTACTCAGGAAGCTGAGATAGAAGAATCACTTGAGCCCTGGAGTTTGAGGTTGCTGTGAGCTATCATGACACCACTGCACTCCAGCCTTAGCAACAGAGGGAGACTCTGTCTCCAAAAAATAAAAGTAAAAATAACAAAGAAAGGAGAAAACTTCCAATCCAATTTTCTATTGTTACTCTGCTGTGAGTTCTTATTTAATTATCAGGTAGTAGATTGGGGCACATACTTTTTTAAATTAATTAGTTGATTTTATTTCACTATCTACTTGTTTTTGGAGTAATAAATATTTACAGAAGAGTTTCAAAGGGTTTATTGGTTTTTTCTCAGCTGCATTTCTTAGAATGACTTACATTGTATGATCATTCTGTCAACCTTTTGAAGAGTTGATCTATATTTCTATTATTTTTCCTATTTTTGTGAAATTCCAGTTCCTTGGAGAATACTTCTTTATTTTAACCTATGATAAGTCGTATTACATTATATTACCCCTCTTCATATTGGTATCTAGTCTCCCCAAAATTTCTGGATTAATTAAATCTACATAAAGGTTCTGGAGAGACTTAGGTTGTATATTTGAAATAACTGTTGTATCTAATGATTTTTAACAGAATAACCCAAATGCACACGGTGATTTCTTAAAAATAAATAGAGCATATGAAGTACTCAAAGATGAAGATCTACGAAAAAAGTATGACAAATATGGAGAAAAGGGACTTGAGGATAATCAAGGAGGCCAGTATGAAAGCTGGAACTATTACCGTTATGATTTTGGTAAGGTGATATGATGCTGCTTACAGAATTGCTCTTTACCTGAGTCAAACTTATGTATTTAATGCCTATTGGCACCTTGACTAGTTCTTTAATTTACCCTGGGAAAATTAAAATTCAAAAGGAAAATAAGTTTATCAGTAGTGATTATCTGAATATATATAAAACTATATTGGTCAAGTCTTATTAAATATTTTTAAATTAGGATTACTTTTTAATAAAAAAATAAAAAATACACAGTCAGAGCCATGTATCAACATTTCAGTCAATAGCTGACCGTAGATATGACAGTGGTCCAATAATGTAACATTTTTAGTGTCCTTTGTCTATGTTTAGGTATAAAAATACTTACCATTGTGTTACAGTTGCCTACATTAATCAGTACAGTAGCATTCTATGTGAGTTTGTATTGTAGGAGCAATAGGCTATGCCTCATAGCCCAGGTGTGTAGTAGGCTGTACCATCTGATTTGTGTACATACACCCTGTGACGTTCACCCACCACAGTATTGCCTAACACCACGGCTCTTAGAACATATCCCCATTATTAGGTGATGACAATATATAGAAGTCATTAAATATTAGAAGTTATTGAATGTTTCTTTCAGTATTTCTGATATTGAGTTAATATTAATATCTTTTAATATTTTTCAGAGTATCATATTTTCCAAGAAAGGCTAAACTTTCCTTTAACAGTGCTCACTTGTGTAGAAATGCCATCCTTCTCATAGGGAACCCTTAATGTTAATGTTTTAAGATGTTGACAGAAATAAGAAATAACCAAAAAAAAAAAAGAGAGAGAGAAAGAAAAAGCAGACAAGAGCAGAAGTCAGAAATAAGTTAAAGGAACCAAGTGAAAGGGGAAGTAAACACAGATATCAAGGCAGGAAGGTGAATTGTGATACCCAATATTTCTCCTCGTCATTAATTAGCTCCACATGCAGGCTAGGAACTGAAGTATGCTTCTATATTAGACTAAATAGGATAAATTTATATGTGTAGGGTTTGCTTTGCAAGACTGATTTTCTTTAGTATTAAGTGCATCCCCAAGAACTTCATAGTCTCTATCAGTAGTTGGCAAACTACAATTTATAGGCCAAATTTGGCTTGCCACCAGCTTTTATAAATAAAAAACTGTATTTTTGGAATATAGTTATGGTTATTTATTTATATATTGTCTATGACTTCTTTTATGCTTAGCAAATTTGAGTATTTATGACAAACCGTTTGTGTTACAAAGCCTAAATATTTACTAATGGCCCCTTATGGAAAACATTTGCAAATTCCTGGTCTATATCCATCATTAATATTTGGAAATTTTATATAGTAATGAGAAATTTTCTCACATTGATTTTAATTATTATGGCAGGCAAAATTTATTATATTTACTGAATGTTTCTACCTCTGCATATACTCTTAATTATAAAGATTTTTAGCTGCAGATGGTATTTTGAAATGATATAACTTATTAAAAACCATGTAATATGGCTCGGCGCCTGTAGCTCAAGCAGATAAGGTGCCAGCCACATACACCAGAGCTGGTGAGCTTGAATCCAGCCTAGGCCTGCCCAACAACAACGACAACTACAACCAAAAAGTAGCTGAGCGTTGTGGTGGGTACCTGTAGTCCCAGCTACTTGGGAGGCTAGGTCTAAAATTATTTTTTTAGTAAAACATTAAAAACATTAGAAATCATTTGTGGAGATGAAATTATTTCCACATCTGTAATAGTCCATATCTGGATTCTAAAATCGTTAGGTCACTCATTACGTATATCACCAATAAGTATTTTGATTGTTTGTTTGTTTTTCTCTTAGTTTGTTGCGTATTCTTCAGGTTTGATATTTAGGGTAGTGAACTGATTTTTTGATGATTAAACCCAAAATGAGTAATTTGTTTTTATGTGGTTATTTTTATGGGTGAGGTTTTGATTTTATAATTATTATGTACTTTTAAAAATTAGGTATTTATGATGATGATCCTGAAATCATAACATTGGAAAGAAGAGAATTTGGTAAGTGTATGGGCATTTGATTTTCTTTTTACGAGTACAATCTCATATAAAACTCTTGAGGATAAATGTGTTTGGAATTCAAAAATTGTTTGGATTTTAGACAGGTAATATGTACTATAAATTAATCTTCCCAGAAGAATGTGGGGAAGTATGCATAAAAATATACATATTTCTGCCGCAAAATGTGTAAGTATGTATGCCAAATAAAAGTAGTAAATATAGGCTTAGCCGCCTGTGGCTCAAGGAACTAAGGCACCAGCCACATAGACCTGAGCTGGTGCGGTCGAATCCAGCCCGGCCCCGCCAAACAACAATGATGGCTGCAACCAAAAATAGCTGGGCATTGTGGCGGGCGCCTTTAGTCCCAGCTACTTGGGAGGTAGAGACAGGAGAATCACTTGAGCCCAGGAGTTGGAGGTTGCTGTGAGCTGTGATACAAGGGCACTCTACCAAGGGGCGATAGCTTGAGGCTCTGTCTCAAAAAAAAAAAAAAGGCAGTGAATATAACACATAGCCCCTAGCCCCCTATCAGTTCAGATCTGGATGCGAAGTGAGCATGCTGCGACTACTTGGGAAGCTAAGGCAAGAGAATCGCCTAAGCCCAAGAGCTGGAGGTTGCTGTGAGCTGTGACGCCATGGCACTCTACCAAGGGTGACAAAGTGAGACTCTGTCTCTTAAAAAAAAAAGTGAGCATGCTGTGAACTTCCAAAAAACCTTCCAGATTCAGAACTTTTTGATTACAAAGTCCTAGGTAAGGATGTGTTTATTTTGAAAGCAGATTTCATTTCATTTAATCTGTGTCTTGTGTGAAAATGGATGTGAAAATACAGTTCCATATTTTCTACTGCGTTTTACACAATTACAAATACTACATTAGATTCTGACATTTTCAGCCTTTTTCAGTGATAGTAAAATAGGTGTATTCTTTCTTTTCTGCTTTAAAGCAACTTTGTATTATCAAATTTCAATTTTATTTTGCTCTATCATAATCTTATTTAGTTTAGAAAATTAAAATACCGTATCAGTTACTATACATGCATATAAAAATGCTTTTCCTATATTTTCATCATTGAAGATTTATTATAGCCACTTGATTTTATACAGTTCCTTTGAAGCAAGGGTTGCACTTTTTTTCCACATCATGTTGGTGAGCTCAGTCATACAGAATATTTGTTCAGTATGTAACTTTTTTAGAAGTCTTATATGTGAATACTTAAGCAAATTATAAGTGAATAGAAAATATATCTTCCCTACTTAAGGAAACAAGACAATTTGATTCATTTAGACTGTTGGTAGACAAAACTAATACCCGTGTCAGAAGCTGATACAATCATAACTTCAGTGCATGAGGTATATAAACCTGTAGCTTTTCCTACATGTGGTTATTGTCTCCAATCTCCTAACGTGTGTGTGTGTGTGTGTGTGTGTATTAGTATTTCATGGACCCATGAGGCAGAAAACATTGGAATTACAAATAGCACTGGGGTAGCAAAAATCTTACACACTGACAAATCCATGAGGCCACCTAGAATGAGACATTCTGATAGTTCCACATTGTATATGGATGCAAACTTTTTCAGATATCACTATGTAGAAAAGGTTAAGGACTGCTAACAGTTCATATAGAACCCTAAATGGTAGTTTAAGATAAATTACAGACGCAAAAGAGAATGCAGAGATAATTAATACTGATAGGTTCAATCCATATTTGCCACCATTCCATCTGGTCTCGAATACTACTTTTCATATTACTAGGATAAGACAAGAGGATCGTGAAGTTTTAGTTGAAGAAGCAAAAGGAAAACAACAAACATATATAGTACTATCAATTTGTAGTTAGATAAATATCACATTTGCCTGCTTGGTTGTGGGTCCCTTTCTATTAACTGTTACTACTTTTGGTTTGAGTTACTTAGTCTGGTCTTTTGTACAAATAGTGATAGAGTTATTTTGAAGTTATGTATGTTCTCTTCTTCCAGCAAGAAGTTATGTTTTCTTCTGGCTAGAGTCACTAGATACTGTTTGCAAAAGTAGAGAACATCACACATGTGTACAAGTCATTCTGACTAGAACCTGCATAATACAGGAATCTTTTCAAAGAGCTTCAGAAAGAGGAACTCAAAACTCTTCTGCCTTTTCTTACATTTTTCTTTGCTACCAGAAGCTATTAACATATATTTATTTGTTTATATATATTAACAAACATTAGCTTGAAGTTGTATAGCTTAGTAGCTAAAAATTGCATTTTGAAATACACTCATTCTGGGTAGACACTGAATAATGCAGAACATCCCATGAGCTATGATAATACAGTATTAAAAATATTTTTAAACTTATTACTCAGCAACCAATGGGAATGCAGCAAATACATTAGCAGTGCTCTTTTAAAACAAAATACAGGGCAGCACCTGTGGCTCAAAGGAGTAAGGCACTGACCCCATATGCCAGAGGTGGTGGGTTCAAGCCCCGCCCCAGCCAAAAAAAAAAAAAAAAAATACAGCCACACCTCATTTTATTGCACTTTGCTTTACTGTTCTTCACTGATACTGTGTTTTTTACAAATTGAAGGTTTATGACAACTTTGCATCAAGCAAGTCTCTCAGTGCCATTTTTCCAACAGCTGTGCTCACTTCATGTCTCTGTCACATTTTGGTAATTCTTGTAATAGTTCAGACTTCATTATTAGTGTGTATATCTGTTATGGTGACCTGCAATCAGTGATCTCTGATAAATGGTCCATTGTTTTGGTGCACCACACACTCCCTGTAAGACAGCAGACTTAATTGATAAATATTGTATGTTCTGACTGCTCCGCCACCTGGCCTTTCCTTGTTTCTTTCCCTCTCCTCAGGCCTGCCTCTTTCCTGAGACACAGAATATTAAAGTTAGGCCAACTGATAACCCTACATTTGCCTCTAAGCATATCTCTCAGTTTAAATCAGAAGTTGGAAATGATTTGAGTTTAATAAGGAAGGCGTGTTGAAAGCCAAGATAGGCTGAAAGGTAGGCCTCTTTTGCCAAACAACCAAGTTATGTGGTGCAAAGGATAAAGTTTGTGAAGGAAATTGAAAATGCAACTCCAATGAACATGGTAATGATAAGAAAGCAAAACAGCCATATTGCTGATACAGAGAAGGTTTGAGTAATCAGAAGATCAAACCAGCCACAGCACCTTCCTTTAAGTTTAGTCCAGAAACAACCCCTAACTCTGTTCAATTTTATGAAAGCTGAGAAAGGTGAGGAAGTTGCAGAAGAAAAGTTTGAGGCTAGGAGCTGTTTAATGAGGTGAAAGGAAATAACCCGTCTCCATAAGAGTGTATAGTGAAACAGTAAGTGCTGATGTAGAAGCTGCGGCGAGTTAACCAAAAGATCTAGCTGAGATCATTGATGAGATATTTATACTAAACAAATTTTTCAATGTAGATGAAACAGCCTTCTATTTGAAGAAGATGCTGTCTAGAAATTTAATATCTAGAAAGAAGTTCAAAGCCTGGCTTCAAAGCTTCAACAGATAGGCTGCCTCTCATCAGAGGCCAGTGCAGCTGATGACTAAGTTGAAGCCAATGCTTATTTACCATTCTGAAAATCCTAGAACTCTTAAAAATTAGGCTAAATCTAAATGGAACAACAATGTCTGAATGATAGCATATCTGTTCATAGAAAGGTTTGCTAAATACAATAAGCAGACTGCTGAGACATACTACTCAGAGGAAAAGATTTTCAAATATTGTCAAAAATATATATATTATCGCTTACTGACAATGAACCTAGTCATCTAAGAGCTCTAAGAGATGTATAAGATCCTGTCTGCTGACAATATCTGTTCTGCAGCCCATGAATCAAGGAGTAATTTTGACTCTCAAATCTTTTAAAAAATATATTTTGTAAGGCTGTAGCTGCTACAGATAGTGATTCCTTGGGTAGATCTGGGCAAATTAAACTGAAAACTTTGTGGAAAGGAGTCACCATTCTAGGTACCATTAAGAACATTTGTAATTCATTGATGTCAAAATGTCAACATCAACAGGAGTTGGGAAGATCCTCACGAATGACTTTAAGGGAATTCAAGACTTCAGTGGAGGAAGTATAACTGCTAATGTGATAGAAATAGCAAGAGAACTAGAATTAGAAATGGAGCCTGTATAAACTGAATTGCTGCTATCTCATGATAAAACTTGAATGGATGAGGAGTTACTTCTTATAGAAGAGCAAAGATAGTGGATTCTTGAGATGGAATGAAGAGGCTATGAACATTGTTGAAACGACAACAAAGGATTCAGAGTGGTACATAAACTTAGTTGATAATGTATCAGCCGGTTTTGAGAGGATTGACTCCAGATGCTATCAAACAACATCATAAGCTACAGGGAAATCTTCTAGTAAAGGAAAAGTCAATCAGTGTGGCAAACTTCATTATCGTCTTATTTTAAAAAATTTCCACAGCCACCCCAACTTTCAGCAACCACTGCCCTGACCTATGAACATAGAGGGAAGACCCTCCACCAGCAGAAAGATTATGACTTGCTGAAAGGCTCAAGTGATCATTAGCATTTTTAGCAATAAAATATTTTAAATTAAGGTATGTACATTGTCTTTTTAGACGTCATGCCATTGCACATTTAACAGACTATAATATAGCATAAACATAAATTTTACATGCTTGAGAAACAAAAAAAGTTGTACAATTTGCTTCATTCTAGTAGTCTGGAACTGAACCCACAGCATCTCTAAGGTATGCCTATACCAAGATAGAGATGTTTTCACAGTAAACAAGGTTTTGTGTCAGTTTAAATGCCGGGTTGGTTTTACATCATATTTCTGTTTAAGACTTTTGAATAACATTCTTTTCATATGTAAATAACCACCTTATTACTTATAGCTGATAAGAATCCCTCTTTTCTATTAAAGTATGCATTAATTGTTAAAATTTTTACTTGAGTTTGTACAGGTTGGTGATCTAAACCAACACAGCAATTCTTTTGACCACTGATAGAATGGTCTGTTTGCCAGACTTCCTAAACCAGTGGTTCTCAACCTGTGGGTCATGACCCCTTTGGGGGTTGAATGACCCTTTCACAGGGGACACCTAAATACATCGGGCATATCATATATTTACATTATGATTCATAACAATAGCAAAATTACAGTTAGGAAATAGCAATGAAAATAATTTTATGGTTGGGGGTCGCCACAACATGAGGAACTGTATTAAAGGGTCGTGGCATTAGGAAGGTTGAGAACCACTGTTGTAAACATTGCCGAAGAATAGCTGATAAAATCCTAAATGAGGGCGGCACCTGTTTTTCAAAAGGGTAGGGCGCCAGCCCCATATGCTGGAGGTGGGGGGTTCAAACTAAGCCCCAGCCAAAAAAAAAAATTTTAAATGATACACTTTGCTACTAAAGTACAGATTGATTTTTGTCCCACAAATCTGTCTTGTAATTGTGGTGTAGGTTAACATTGAGTCTTGCACATGTTTCTAATTGATCTGAATTAACTGCACATATATAACATGTATGATTTCAAGTATTACTATAATTTCTGAAATTTTTATTTAAAAATTACTGATAACTGATACTGATTTGGAATTAGCAAATGCTGTTACTTTATCTTGAATGTCAGAGCACATGTTTACAATGTTAATTTTTTTAATTAGTAAAATTTGTTTATGTCTCCCAGATCATTTTAAAATTATAATACAATACATAATATACTGTTATCTAGCCATTATGTGATGTTCAAATCTACTATTTTAGCAAACATTAATGTTCTGCATTTTTACAAACCTTAATCGTGATAGTTTTCAAGCAGCATGATTTTTCAAAGTACATTTATGGCTAAGATTAAATTGAATTCCCACAATCCTTATGATACTATGTAAGTCCCTCATTTGTATATTTGTTTCTTTCAGAATTTGAAAGGTCAGAATTGACTGACCATATATTTAACCTGCTATAGATAACAGAAGAACTTAAAGCTCAGTAGCTCTCACTGTTTCTCTTCATTTCTCTCTTCCACACTAACTCTTACATGAGATTTGGCTGTTTTCTTGTGCCATCTCTTTATATAGCTTTGTGGCTATATTTGTCTTGCAGTTTTTAAGACTGCTTCTTATTTAAGTATTGGCTTAGGAAAGTTAAAATTAGTTTGACATTTGAAATATGTCTTTATAGAAAAAAATGTACAGAAAATGATTAGGGCAGTATGAAAGATTTGGACTGTTTGTTCCATTCTGTTCAACAAAAAAATTTTTACTAAAACACACATGATCTTTTAGTAAATCATTCTAAGTTATTTCCATTTTATGTGCTTTCAGATGCTGCTGTTAATTCTGGAGAACTGTGGTTTGTAAACTTTTACTCCCCAGGGTGTTCACACTGCCATGATTTAGCTCCCACAGTACGTATTGTATTTTATTTCTGATTGGTCTGCTATTTGTGCATTCTTTTTAT